TCCACACGCTCTCATTACCGCAACGCGATTGGTCGGCGGCGGACAGCAGCGATACCTACCACACGGGCCGCGCACTCTGCTGGGCACTCTATTCTCTGAGGGCGCGCGCGCACACACACACACACTAAGGGGAGCGACGCAAGGCCGCGTCGTCAACCATTTCGAAAGCCGCGATCCCCAAGCTAGCTTTCGAGTGCCGAAAATGGTACCCACGCCGCTAATGTGGGTGGGACACGGATCTTTCACCAACCATAGGCTGCTCATACTTTCAAGGAAGTTTTGCATACCGGGTGATTAAGAGAAGACGCAGGTGCGGACGAGTTTGCCTACCCAAGGGGCTGTGGCGCCTTACGGCGGCAGAGCGGGTAGGCAAACCCGCACGCACCTGCGTCTTCTCTGAATCACCAGGTGCAAGCACACCCAGAGAACCATTTAGTTGATACAACTAAATCAGGGTTGTAAGAACCAAAATTTAGTTCCTAAAACCGACTGAAATTTAGTAACCCTATTTTTAACTAAATATAGTCGCACCAATCAAATTAAGTCATCTAGACCAAATTATTTCATCACCACGAATAAAATTTTAGTCCCAAGAGCTAAAATTTCGTCGGTTTTGAATTTGGTTATATGGACTAAACGGTCTTCTGGGTGCACAACTTCATTGACCTCTTCTTAAAAGCACCCAAACGACCCAAAACTACCGAACTATTTTTCATTTTTAGTGCGTTTGACTGCAATCCATTCATACAGGCAGGCAAAATTTCCCAGATTTCGGTACCATCGGCAGATATTTCCGAGGTGTTAGCAGCACTTTCTCATCTGTCTACCTCCAAGAACGAAATCTCTTAGAACTATATCTTAAAAGAATTCCATGTTTCACAGCTGACTCCGTTCTTCCGTATGAAAGAGGGACTACGTCCGGTGCGCGCCTCTCCACGGCCGTCTCGAGGGTACTCACCAGTCTCGCTGTCGACGGTGTAGGGCAGGCCGGCCCAGGGGTCGCGCTCGTCCTTCTTCTTGCCCGTCTCCTCGCCGGCCTCGTCCGCCAGCGGCTCCGGCAGGGCCTGCGTGTGCACAGGGAGGTCAGCCACTCGTCCGCCGCGCGCGCCGGTTGGGCGGCCTACCCCGCGGGCGCGGCGCCGCAGCTACAAGTGTTCCCACATTTTGGTTCCTGGCCATTTTGCATGACTTTTCCATGACATTCCAGACAAAATTTTAAGAATTTCCGCGACTTTCTTCACTCAAAGATCTTGAGTCAACAAAACCTCAGACGGCAGAGAGGAACACCCGAAATTTGTGCGCTCCTCGAATCCGTAATTTATCCAAATTTCCATGACCATCCGAACAATTTTCCCCTGACATTCCAAGACTTTCCATAAGCATATTGTTTCAATGACTTTCCAGGTTTTTCCGCACTTGTGGGAACCGTGTCAGCACCATTACCTTGCTGGTCGCATTCAGCTCGTTGAGAATCTTGATCTTCTCGATCTCGTCGGTGGTGCCCGCCTGGCCGCCCTCGGGCCCGGACGACGAGTCGTTGGCGGCGACCTGGGCCCCCGCGGCCGGCCCGTTGAAGAACTCGAGCGAGAAGCCGAGGTCCACATCCTGCTTCCAGAGGACCTCGATCAGGTCCATGTCCTGTAAGAAGAGAAGGTAATTATTAGAAGCTAATATCAGTCTGACTCCTTACGTAACGGTACGGCGGAGGGGGGAGGAAGGTCGATGCGACCAATCACACCCTCCCCCGCCCCCCCCCTTTCTCCATCGATCGTCCGGGTACTCTTTGGGGCTGGTTGGTTATCAACAGTATCACTGGTTTGTTATCTAGTATCTTTTTCCGAGAGTTGGACGGGCGTAGGTTGGCAGCGAGACCATACGCAGGTGAAGATTATACACGTGACTGCAACTGATAGCCCCGGATGGGGCCCCTAGGCGCCGGACCAAGTGCGCACCTACTCGGTGAGGTGAAAAAGAAATTCAGAAAGAAAGAGAAATGCTGAGTAAAAATACACAAGAGTATGAAACTTTTTAGACCGCGGCAAAAAAGATACACGACCTCCTATCAACCCTTTAATGATGAATACGGAAGAAAAAAAAAAGTGTGCTGCCCAGTGCATCAAAAACAAATAATTTAAAATGTGTGAAAGAAATATTACGACCTTGACCGCGCAGCATAGTACACATACGAATGCCCTGTCATTGGAACTAATTGAGGATAAAGCGCGGCGGATTTGAAATCCGGCGGCGGACACAACCAGCGAGAGAAAAGAGGTGTCGGCCGCTCTAAAAGGGCCATTTTAGAGTAATATAATATCAGGTGTATCTGGTAATATCCAACAGCAGCATGAATTTTGCAAACTGAAAAACGCTGAAGGTAGGGGTGACACAGTCAATGGAGTTTTCATTTCATTTCCGTAATAACGTGTACACCGGCTCCAAAATACTTGAATTTCGTTGAATTTAGTGTGTTGTAGAAAAAAAACTTTTACCTTCGGCTAGAGACAGACCACAAGGGACTGCCTAATAACAGCACAATACCATTACCCACGGCTTATGTGGTGCAATACTAATACTGTTTCCACGAAAATCTCAAGAGGAAACCCCTTCCGAACCCTGAGTGTTTTTCTACGTTCCTAATGCCGAAATAATAATTGCGGAACCAAATCGTGTACAGCTGCGCAAGCTCTGCAATCCATAGCACTACGCGCACTGATTAACCAAGTAAACGCTTGTAAGTCTGCAACTAGGTTGCATACTTGAAAGTGTTCAACTGTTCAACTGCGTTGATAGTACACTTTCAAGTGTTGAACTCGGTAGAAGTGTACTTGTGAGTGCAGTTTATCAGTGTGGGCATGGGCATTACGTCACTGACCCTA